ATATTCTAATGGCTCTATTACTTCCTGATGATCCGCTCAAATCGTCCAAAGAAGTCGGTTCAAAACTGGCAAATGATTTTAGATTTTAAGTTGAGCAGTGCGTAATCTCCTTTAAAATTCGTTGCTACTTAGAACTTACTAGTACCATAGTTTGTGATTTCCGTTCTAATTCCATTGTTGAAAGATGAAGATTAACGAATTGTATGAACTAATGCAAGCATGTATATGTATTGGACACCAGACACGTAGCCATGGCGACGGGATCAATGAAATCTGAATTATTGGCGAGATTTGACAATGCTATTCATTCTCGAACTGATCAATGCAACATCAAATCATCAATGTCCTATTGAACCAGAGTCACAGTTGAAGACATCGTTGGAGATATTGCTCCAAAGGAAGGTAGAGGACGATTTTAGGAGAAGTATGCTAAATAATTGTAGTATTATAGTATGAGAACATTTGCTTTAGCGAAAAAAGCCCTCAAGCATTTATAAAGCTTAGATTAACCCATATTTTTTAGAAATAGAAGTCTCTCGTGATTTCCACTTTATAGAAGCTGTCAAAGGTGGTAAATATCATGTGCTCATCACTATTATAAGCCTTATCGGACTCCAAAAATAGTCTGCGTTACCTTGAAATCAATAATGAGCATGGGGTCAAGACAAGTTTAGTAATATCCCCAAGATTCTGCAGTGCAACGACCATGTACTTAACTCCTTTTCGCAAAACAGCCATGCACTTTAAATAATCTAGCATAAATGCTGAGTTAATTGCAGGATCACTGTAATGCGTGATTTGCGCCTTTAAATTATATCTGCTGAATGGCTTTTTGGGAGGATATATATATATATATATAGGTTCATACATCCATAGAATTAGTTCATTTTATCAATAAACTCGTCAATTTGGTGGACGTATACTTAGCGAGAGGGTGCATGCTGTAAAGTGACCATTCAAATATCACAAAGAGAACTCATCCTCATCTGAAAATTCTCAAATTCAAATGACAGGACTCTATTGGCAGTTTGTTTATCAGCCTCCTCGTCTCTTCCTCCCCCCCCCCCCCCAAATTCTGTATCTAACATGATTCAAATAGAGATAATTATTCAGCTGTTTCAATAGCAACAGCAAAATTACTGATGTATGCGGAGTATGCGAAAGACTCACCTCCACGTAGTATAGTTGACTTCTGACTTCAACCTACTATGACCCCACTGCTTGTCATAACACTCATCTTATCCAAGTCCCAACCTTTGTGCCTGTGCCTTTTACATCTATGAATAACCTACTGTTTCTCCTCTCGACGTTTCGTAACTTTGATGTTCTTTCCGTCCGTGAAGCCCGAAGTCATCCAAAGAGCTAATGATAACTAGCATAAAGCCAGTAATTTGATAAAAATATTTATCGCAACCCATATCAAAAGTCTGGAACACATTGGCGCGTATTTGATGCATGAAACTAAAAACAGCTAAGATAGAGAAAAATTTACACAAATTGTGAAAATACTCTTCTTTGAGGGAGCTGCCTTTGGTCTATGTAGGACAGTTAATCGTTAGTCCACAACAACAAAAACCCGATCAAATTCCAATGTGATAAATAAAATTTTGCCAAAAAATAATCCAATAGTTATGACTTTAATTACTTTTTTAGATTGCAGTAAAGATATGAAACTCAGCTGTTACCTGCTTAAACACTCGGTTAAAATGGAGATGGAGGTGATACAATCAAATACCCTTCAATTTGAGTTATTTAAGGTCTACTTAACTCTAGTGGGGTGTGTGATGGACTTACTTCTTCTTGGTACACCCTGGGAAACGTATACTCATATGGCAAAAATATTCTAAACCGGCAGTTGACTTCTAACTTCTAACTACCAATACCCCACTCTATGCCATATCCGATCACTTTCACAGTACTCACCTTACCTTTTCTCTACCCTTGTGTCCCTCTGTCTCTTTTACATCTATGAATCACTCTTCTGTTCCCCCATCTCCTCTTTTTGTGACTTTGATGTTGCTCCCATTTGTAAAGCCCAAAGTCAGCTACAGGGCCAATGATAACTATCAAAACGCCTGCCATTCGAAATAAATAAAAAGATACTTTACTTCAGTTGCCGAACAAGTTAGATCTGATCTGTAATTTCGAATTTTGCTTATGGAAAGCAACTCAATTGTCATCAAACTGTTCTAACAATAAATGATTAGGTCAAGATGATATTTAAAAGTACGGAAGTTGTATGACAATAAGTTCCTTAGTGAATGTTTTCCATTTCAAGAACTATTTACACTGATTCATATTTTTTTAACCGGGGTGCGTAATAGACTTACCTCCACGTGTTGCACCCTGGGCAACGTATATTCATACGGCAAAAAAGTCTATTGACTGGCAGTTGACTTCTCACTTCAACCTACCATCACCTCACTCTATGCCATATTCGACTATTTTAATAGTACTCACCTCACCTTTGTTCTACCTTTGTGTTTGTCTCTTACATCTTTGAAACACTCTTCTGTTCCC